TATGACAAACCCACTGTTGCAATAGTGACATTAAATCTGTTCATGAGCGCTGAGGTTCTGAAAGACCCCACCTCTCAACATGTTGCACTGGGAATTAGTTTCCAGCACATGAACTTTGAGGTACACGTTGAAACCATAGCAGCCCTGCAGTGGGACGCTTGATTCTCTCTCATGGGTACTGTCAGAATCCCTAGGGTGGGTCTTAGGCTCTGTATTTAAAAATACATTGTCTCTTATACACATCTACATGGGTACTGTCAGAATCCCTAGGGTGGGTCTTAGGCTCTGTATTTAAAAATACATTCTTGTGTATGTGTGTGGCATGTATAACTGTAGCATTGTTCCAGATGTGGGCTTCTCGGCTCTTTTCAGACCCAACTCCCGTTTGTATGAGAAATATTTTTATTGCCCTCTCTACTGTCTTGAAATTATACAGGTAATGCAATGTATCTAGTTACATATTTTCAAAACATTAATATAGTGCCAAAATTGGAATATAAGGAAAAAGAAAATTAAAACCTATGATAAAATAATATGTATTTTAGTATGTAAATGCTGAGGTATGATTAGACTGGAAGACATCATTAGTCACATATTTGCACCTATACATAGAGTCACTGTGAGAAGGGAAGTAGAGATGCGGGTCAGAAGGCGTGCTGTATTGGTAATTCACATATTCTAAGTGGTATTGCCTTCAGTGATATGACTTTAATTGAGTAATTTAGGTAAAATTCTTAAAATACAGTCTTCCTTTGATTTACCTAGAAAATTCAGTGCTGTTAGGATTATGTAAAAACAAGCTCTTTGTTTTTAAATGTAAAAGGAGATTTAGTTCTAGGCTAAGACAATTATAAACGAGTGTTCCACCTTCATAGAATTTGGTAGGACACTTAAAAGTTGCGTTGGAGCTGGGCGTGGTGGCTCACGCCTGTCATCCCAGCACTTTGGGAGGCCGAGGCGGGTGGATCACCAGGTCAGGAGATCGAGACCATCCCGGCTAACACGGTGAAACCCTGTCTCCACTAAAAATCCAAAAAAACTAGCCAGGGGCGGTGGTGGGCACCTGTAGTCCCAGCTTCTCGGGAGACAGAGGCAGGAGAATGGCGAGAACCCGGGAGGCGAAGCTTGCAGTGAGCTGAAATCCGGCCACTGCACTCCAGCCTGGGCAACAGAGCGAGACTCCGTCTCAAAAAAATAAAAATTAAAAAAAAAAAAGTTGCATTGGATTTGGATAATTCTTAATTTTGTAGGACTGTCCTACACAGAACATCTGGCTCCTTTGGTTCCTGCTCATTAAGTGCCTGTAATTTTCCGTAAACATTGTGACAAATAAAAATACCCCCATAAATTTCTCAAACAACCCTCAAGATAGGCGTCACTCCCATTGAGAACTATTGATGTGGTTAATTAGTTTATGTTGTGAACTGTTATAAATACTATAAAATACATTATGAAAATGTATACATTCTGAAGTTGTTTTTTGAGTCATGCATGCACTGAAAGAATTGTGTTATAGATGTCATTTACTTTTTTTTTTCATAAAACTCTTGTCTCCTTTTGTTTTTGCTTCTTAATGCAATATTTCAATTTCCTTTGTCTCTCAAGCCAATTTATGCTTATTGTACATCATTGTTAATTTTCAGTTATGATAACAGAAAATACAACAGCCAATGTTATCAGCAAAATCTTAATTATATCCTGTATTGGAAGTAGTGTAAGAAAATAGGAAAAAATGTAAATCACGAAGGTTGTCTTTTGAGAAATTGGCAAATATATATGACAAATGTGTCACTGAGGTCTTGACCAAGGTTAGTTTGTTGAGTGAAGATAATGCCTTTTATTTTTGTATGATTGTCACGTTTTGCTTCAAAGTCAAAAGGGGCTGCATGAAAAGATTTCTTTGTAAGCCTTTTCTGTGGAATGCTTCTATTTGTAACCCTTATGGTAAGATATGATAGGTGAAGCTGAATGATAAATTTTAGCAGTTAATGTTATAGAAAGAAAAGGAATGGGCTGATACGTGGTACCATATTACAGACCAATTTTAAGTGGTATGATTGCTTTCTCTATTTATACCTAAATGATCTGATTTGGCTTTTAGATGGAAATAATGAACATATTTTTGCTGAAGCAAATGAGAAAATGAGTATATTTTCAGGCAATGATCTAGGAATAAGTTTAAGAAACATTTTGTCTAGTTTCTAGTTATTGTTGAGAAATAAGAGCTCAATATCAATTATGTTAAGGACCTAAAGTAGTTTTAACAGGAATTTCCCAAAATTTGGATGTTTAATTCCAAACGTTGTCATCTAACTGATGAGTTGTTTTTTATCTGGTGTACATTTTGTAGTTATTTCACCCTGGTAAGCTGTCAGGAGGCTGAGCTGCTCAATTAGGTTTTAACAGAGGGGTTATGGCTAATCTCTTGTAGCTAAAATGAGCATTGATTAAAATCTGCTCTTAAGCTCTTTTGCCTCAAATTATCTCTGCCTTGTTTTGCTGAGTGCGAGCCCTGTTCAGCTGGACAGAGGCATTTGAACAGAGCCTAAGGTACTTTCTGATAGACCCATTGGTACTGTGTTATCTGTTCCTGCCTACACACTGTGTCCAGGAGAGCATCTGACAGGTTTCTCAGCTTCTAGAATCAAAGGAAAACTTCCGCCAAACTTATGATTCTCCCTTCTATCAGTGAAAAACCAAAAAAGTCCACACTCTTGTTTCTTGTGAGCGCAAATGAATGTAAATTTGTTAGCTTAACCCACTCACATGCAAAGACCGGGTGAAAAAAAAAAAAAAAATATATATATATATAGAGGTATATCTGAGTCAGTGAATACCAACCTAACTTCCTAAAGAGTGACAATAACAAGCATGGGAAACCATGTTAAATAATTTATACACATTTCTTTAGTGCATTTAGAACTTTTAGGATGCTAAGTATATTTTGAATCTCTAAGTAGGGTCAACATGATACTGTGTTTTTAAAACTTACTTGACAATTGTACCATATATATTTTAGGCCTCTTAACACATATTGGTAGTTGCTAATTGCTAGTCCGGGACTAGCCCCCTGATCAACAGAAGCTTGTTGTTTCACTGAGTTGTCTTTTAATATTATGCTTTTCAGTGAGTACTGATATTAAGAGTCATATGAAAGGCCATTATAGTTGTGAACTGTTGTTAAGGACATTGTTCAGTGTGTTGATTACCATTCTTGGAATAAATCCCTCCTGTGATTGAATCTTGGTGAAACTATTTGTTTTTACTTTCTGTCAGTTGCGAATTACATAAACCATCATGCCTTCTTTTTTGCCTTGCTTGTGAGGCAACTCAAATAAATGTACAAACACTCAAATGTAATGCACAAATTATTCAGCTCTCATGTTTAGCATGCTAAGAATTTTTACTCTCTTTATATTTAGGCAGTCTGATAGTTAGATATCAGCTTTTGAGCCTTTCTTTATCTCTAATAGAGGGATAATACCTACCATTTAGATTATTATGAAAATCAAATGAAACGTGCTTTGTTACTTGCTTAGTCATGTGTCTAGTACCTTGTAGAATGCTAAGTAGATGCTAGCGTGCTTTCCTTTTTCCTCCTTCCATAATTTTAATATTTTCTGTTTCTGGTTTTGCAGTCTTAGTTCATACACATCTTTACTTTGATTCAGCTCAGTCTTGTTTAGAAGTGAGTGAAGTGTAAATACCAAAACAAAAGTTACGAACAGCACATTGAGAGGGTTGTCACAGAGGAAGTGAGGCAACCGTGAGTAGCATTGATGGAAGGAGTGATACACCTGTTAGAAACAATGTCTCCACCATTTGGGTTGCTAAGAAATAGAAGACAGACCAAGCTGTCACCCAGCAAGTTGACATGGATAGTCGTTCTGAGCAAAATACTGGCTTGACATGGAACCTGAGTCACAGTTTTGAAGTAGCTGCAGCTCTTGAAACTTTTGGTTGTGCTGTATGTTTCTACTGCAGGTGGAAGTGACCGCAGTCCCTTTAAGGAGGATTTTATAGACCCAGAAATTGGGGAGCAGATTTCTAATTTTTGAAATAAGAATGAGTAGGGGTATCAGGCATTTCAGTAATGGAAATTCCAGTTTTCAGAATATAACGTGAGAGACATTTGATTGAGGCTGCTGCTTCTCACCAGGGCTACATATTAGAGGACCTGGATTTTATTTCCATATGAAAGTGATTCTGTGTGAAAACAGCCATGGCTTTTCTGATCCAAGGCTCAGGGATAGTGTCCTTCCCTTCAGTCCGTTCATCCGTACACTGGCAACTGACTCAGTGGTCTCTTTAGCCAGACCAGCACACGGCTAGGATCATGGCTTAGGTGACCGTATCATTTGTCATGAAAACCAGAACTTTTCAGAGTGAAAAGGGGCACTATTAATATTTAAGCCAGGACATAGATACAAACCTAGACACATCCAGGACAAACTGGACATGTCATGATTTTAGCGAACAACTCTTTTTATGTTGCTTTTAAAACAAAGAGGTTTTATATTTGGGGGTATGTTAGCCCTCCTGATATTTCTGTAGCATCACAGAAATTCAGAAGGCTGTCATCCCTGTTTTGAGTCTTCTGAACCATGTGTTTTATTTTCTAATTTGGAGTGACATTTTCTTTTTGTATTCAAAATGACTATTGTTGAATCCTGTTCAATCAGTTCAAAGACCATCTTATACATTATTAAGTAAGCTAGAATGGCTCTTTCTTTGGGCTCCACTAGCCAGGTAATAACCAGGGGACAAATGAAAGCACAGAGGTGAAGCTGAAGCTTTTAATGTCCTTGCATAGTAATTGCATACTTGGCAAAGACTCATCCTGGATTATTTTCAGATTTAGAATATTGCTTTTATTTTCTATTGTGCAGTTACATTTTGACTATTAAAATTTAATGTTCATGACTCTCGATGTTCAAAAGCAGTATAAATGAAAGTTAAATTTTAGGTCACCTATGTTCTCCCCACTCTTGTCTTAATAGAAAAAAGCTTGGCCGGACCACAAAAGGGAATGCAAATGCCTTAAAAGCTGCAAACCCAGATACCCTCCAGACTCCGTTCGGCTTCTTGGCAGAGTTGTCTTCAAACTTGTGAGTATAAAACTCATGAAATATAGCTGGGTTTTGATTAAATGAGCATATGCAGTTGCATTTTCAGGTATACCTCAGAGATGTTGCAGGTTCAGTTTCAGACCACCACAATAAAGCAAATATTGCAATAAAATGAGTCTCACAAATTTTTTGGCTTCCCAGTAAATATAAAAGTTATGTGGACATTACACTGTAGTCTATTAAGTGTGCAATAGCATTATGCCAACAGAAACAGTGTACATACCTTAATTAAAAAATACATTTCTAAAAGTGCGAAGGATCGTTAAAGCCTTCAGTGCATCATCATTTTTTCGCTGGTGGATGTTGATGGCTGCTGACTGATCAGGTGGTGGTTGCTGAAGTTTGGGGTGGCTGTGGCAATTTCTTAAAATAAGACAACAGTCGAATTTGCCGCCTTGATTGCTTCTTCCTTTTGCAAATGATTTGACTGTAACATATGATGCCTCGCAGCATCATTACCAGGAGTAGGTTCCATCTCAAGAAACCACTTTCTTTGTTCATTCATAAGAAGCAACTCCTCATCTTTTCAAGTTTCATCATGAGGTTGCAGAAAATCAGTTACTTCTTCAGGTTCTACTTCTCTCTGTTTTACAAAACGTTTTAGCTTCTGTTTTAGATTCAGGGGTACATGTGCACATTTGTTGCATGGGTGTATTGCATGATGCTGAGGTTTGGGGTATGATGGATGCCATCACTGAGGTAGTGAGCATGGTACCCGTAGCTAGCTTTTCATCCCTTGCCCACTTCCTGCTCCTTACCTGCCCCTTGCATCCCCCAGTGTCTGTTATTCCCATCTTTGTGTCCATGTCCACCCAATATTTAGCTCTCAGTTACAAGTGAAAACCTGTGGTATTTGGTTTTCTGTTTCTATGTTAATTCACTTAGGATAATGCCCTCCAACTGCATTCATGTTGCTCCAAAAGACATGACTTCACTCTTTTTAATGGTTGCATAATATTTCATAGTGTTTATGTATCACATTTTCTTTATCCATTTTACTGTTAATGGGCACCTAGATTGATTCCATGCCTTTGCTATTGTGAAAAGCACTGTGATGAACGTATGAGTACATGCATCTTTTTGGTAGAGTGACGTATTTTCCTTTGGATATATACCCAATAATGGGATTGCTGAGTTGAATGGTAACTCTCTGAGAAATCTCCAAACTGCTTTCCACAGCAGCTGAATTAGATGACATTCCCACGGACAGTTGACAAGTGTTCCCTTTTCTCTGCAGCCTCCAGCCTGTGTTATTTATTTATTTATTTATTTTTTGAGACGGAGTCTCGCTCTGTCGCCCAGGCTGGAGTGCAGTGGCCGGATCTCAGCTCACTGCAAGCTCCGCCTCCCGGGTTCACGTCATTCTCCTGCCTCAGCCTCCCGAGTAGCTGGGACCACAGGCGCCGCCACCTTGCCCGGCTAGTTTTTTGTATTTTTAGTAGAGACGGAGTTTCACCGTGTGAGCCAGGATGGTCTCGATCTCCTGACCTCGTGATCCGCCCGTCTCGGCCTCCCAAAGTGCTGGGATTACAGGCGTGAGCCACCGCGCCCGGCCCTGTGTTATTTTTCGATTTAATAATGGCCACTCTGGCCACTCTGACTGGTATGAGATGGTGTCTCGTTGTGGTTTTGATTTACACTTCTCTGATGATTAGTAACGGAGAGCACATTTCCTATGTCCTTTGCCCACTCGTATGTCGTCTTCTGAGAAGTGTCTGTTCTTGTCCTTTGCCCACTTTTTATTTTTACTTTTTGAGACAGGGTCTCACTCTGTTGCCCCAGGCTGGAGTGCAGTGGCGTGATCATGGCTCACTGCAGCCTCAAACTCTGGGGCTCAAGCAATCCTCCTACCTCAGCTTTCCCAGTAGCTGGGACCACAGGTGCCCGCCACCATGCCCAACTAGTTTTTGTGTTTTTTCCTTTTTTTTTTTGGAAAGACGAAATTTCATCATGTTTCCCAGACCAGTCTTAAATTCCTGGGCTCAAGAAATTCTCCCACCTTGGCCTCCCAAAGTGCTGGGATTATATAGGTGTGAGCCACTGTCGTGGCCCTTTGTCCACTTTTTAATGAGGTTGTTTGTTTTTTACTTGGTGAATTGCTTAAGTTCCTTATAGATTCTGGATATTAGACCTCTGTTGGCTGCATAGTTTGTGAATATTTTCTTTGATTCTATAAGTTGTCTGTTTATCTGTTGCAAGTTTTTTTTTGCTGTGTGGGAGCTCTTTAGTTTAATTAGGTCCCACTTGTCAATTTTGTTTTTGTTGCAATTGCTTTTGAGGACTTAAGTCATAAATTCTTTCCCAGGACTCATGTGTAGAAAGGTATTTCTTAGGTTTTCATCTTGATTCCAGTTCCTTTGTTCTTTCCATCACATCTACAGTTTCTTTCTCTGTTTCAGTTCCTTTTTTCTTTCCATCACATCTACTATTACTTCCTCTACTGAAGTCTTGACCCCTCAGTGTTATCCACGAAGGTTGAAATCAAGTTCTTCTGAACTCTGGTTCATGTTGATGTTTTGACGTCCCATGATTTACAAATATTCTTAATGGCATTTAGAATTGTGAATCATTTACAGAAGGTTTTAAAATTTACTTTGTCCAGATCCATGAGAGGAATCAATATTTGTGGCAGCTATAGCCTAATGGAATACAGTTTTAAAATAAGACTTGAAAGTCAAAATGATTCCTTGATTCATGGGCTGCAGCATGACGGTCGTGTTAGCAGGCATGAAAACGACATTTGAGTTTTTAAATATCTCTGTTAGAGCTATTGGGTGACCAGATGCATTGTCAATGAGCAGTAACATTTTAAAGGGAATCTTTTTTACTGAGCAGTAAGTCTCAACAGTGGACTTAAAATATTCAGTAAACCACGCTGTAACAGATGTGCTGTCATCTACGCTTTGCCGTTCCATTGGTAGAGCACAGGCGAAGTAGATTTACCACAAATAGTAAGGGCCCTAGCATTTTAGGAATGGTAATGAGCCCTGGCTTCAACCTAAAGTCCCCAGCTGCATTAGTCCCTAAAAAAAGTCCACTTGCCATTACTGGGTATATACCCAAAGGATTATAAATCATGCTGCTATAAAGACACATGCACACGTATGTTTATTGCGGCACTGTCCACAATAGCAAAAGCTTGGAACCAACCCAAATGTCCATCAATGACAGACTGGATTAAGAAAATGTGGCACATATACACCATGGAATACTACGCAGCCATAAAAAGGATGAGTTCATGTCCTTCATGGGGACATGGATGCAGCTGGAAACCATCATTGTCAGCAAACTATCACAAGGACAAAAAACCAAACACCGCATGTTCTCACTCATAGGTGGGAATTGAACAGTGAGATCACTTGGACACAGGAAGGGGAACATCACACACCAGGGCCTGTCGTGGGGTCGGGGGAAGGGGGAGGAATAGCATTAGGAGATATACCTAATGTAAATGATGAGTTAATGGGTGCAGCACACCAGCATGGCCCATGTATACATATGTAGCAAACCTGTAAGTTGTGCACATGTACCCTAGAACTTAAAGTATAATAACAGTAAAAAAAAAAGTTCACTTGTTCTTTGAAGCCAGGTATCGAATTCTCTCTAGCTATGAAAGTCCTAAATGACATCCTCCAATATAAGACTGTTTCATCTACATTAAAAATCTGTTGTTTAGTGTAGCCAAATTCAGTTATTTTTGTCAGGTCTCCTGGATCATTTGCTGCAGCTTCTATATAGCACTTGCTGCTTCACCTTGCACTTTTTTAGATTATGCATGTATGCAAGTATGTATGTATGTTTTGAGATGGAGTCTTGCTCTGTCACCCAGGCTGGGGTGCAGTGGCGTGATCTTGGCTCACTGCAACCTCTTAGGCTCAAGTGATTCTCCTGCCTCAGTCTCCTGAGTAGCTGGGACTAAAGGCACCCACCACCATGCCAGGCTGGTTTTTTTGTACTTTTAGTAGAGACAGGGTTTTACCATGTTGGCCAGGCTGGTCTTGAGCTCCTAACCTCAGGTGATCTGCCCGCCTTGGCCTCCCAAAGTGCTGAGATTATGGGGCACCTGGCCACCTTGTGCTTTTATGTTATGGAGATGGCTTCTTTCCTTAAACCTTATGAACCAACCTCTGCTAATTTCCAGCATTTCTTCTGCAATTTTCTCCCCTCTCTGAGCCTTCCTAGAATTGAAGCAAGTTAGGGCTTTCCCCTGGATTAGGCTTTGGCTCGCGGGAATATTGTGGCTGTTTTGATCTTCCATCCAGGCCACTCAGACTTTCTCTAGATAGCAATAAGACTGTCGTGGGTTCCTATCACTCATGTGTTCATGGGAGTAGCTTTTTCATTTTCTTTCAGAACTCTCCCTTGTATTGACAACTTGGCTGTTTGGTGCAAGAGGCCTGACTTACGGTCTATTATCAGCTTTCAGTATTTCTTTCTCACTAAGCTTACTCATTTCTAGCTTTTGATTTCAAATGAGAAATGTGCGACTCGTCCTTTCACTTACAGGTCATTGTAAAGTTATTAATCGGCCTAATTTCAGTATTGTTGTGTCAGAGAATACAGAGGCCTGAGGAGAGGGAAGAGATAGGGGAATAGCCAGACAGTGGGAAGAGCCGGTCGGCAGAGCAGTGAGAACACACACAGCGTTTATTGATTAAGTTTGTGGTCTTATATGGGGATGGTTTGTGGTACCCCAAAACAATTACAGTAGTAACATTAAAGATCTCTGATCACAGGTCACAGTAACAGATATAATAATAAGAAAAAGTTTGAAATACTGTGAGAATTCCAAAATGTCACACATAGACACAGAGTGTGCACATGTTGTTAGAAAAATGGCATCGATAGACTTGCTCGATGATGTAAATCTTCAGTGTAATGTCTGAAAAGCACGATACAGTGAAGTATGAGAAAATGAGGTATGCCTGTGTTACTCCTATTTAAGTCTGAAATTAACCCCATGTTAAGGTAGAAGGTAGATTATTCCAGGGAATGTCTTAAGACAAAAAAATGTGTTCTTTTCCTGTTAATAACGGAATCCGTAGCAGTGAAGAAATGCACAGCCTCTCTTTGAAGGCCCTGCTGTCTTCTTGTGGGAATAAAGATGGAGGAGATTCTGTTTGCGATATGAGATGGCAGTAATCTCTGTTACATTGCCGTTATAACTTGGCTATTGTGAACTAATGCACAGGGCAAGTATGTCATTTTCTACTTGCCTCTTCAAGAAAGATATGCATAGATAATTAGTATGAACTGGAAGAGTACTTATCTTTTTTTCCCTAGAATTCATTGAAGTGATTTCTTCGGCCCTTTTTCATAAGTGGCAAAATAGTAAACTCTGTGAAATCCTGCTGTGGTGAAGCCTTTCAGATTTTTTTACCCATCTTTAGCGTGAATATCTTTCTCAAATTATTGTAGGCTCCCAATTTGTTCTTCCCTTTTTTTTTCTTTTTTGAGACAGGGACTTGGTCTGTTACCCAGGCTGGAGTATAGTAGCATAATCACAGCTCATTGCAAGCTTGAACTGCTGGGCTCAAGTGATCCTCCCTCCTCAGCCTGCTGAGTGGCTGGGACTACAGGTGCATGCCACCATGCCTGGCTAATTTCTGTATGTTTTGTAGGCATAGGTTTGCCATGTTGCCTAGGCTGGCCTTGGACTTCTGGGTTAAAGCAATCTGCCTGCCTTGGCCTCCCAAAGTACTGGGGAAAATTATAGGTGTGAGCTCCCATGCCCCACCTTTTCCTATTGTTTACTGACTCTTGGCCAGTATACAATTTTATAGAGAGTTTTACGAATATAAAAATATGGGAACTTCTTGTACAACAGCTTTGCATTTGCAGATTGAACTGTTGAGTGAAGATACAAGTTAGATTTTTATTTTAAAGTGGTTGATTAATTCGGTCTAATAAGAATGATGAATAGAAAGAATATATAGAAAATGTTCTTTTTCATAGACTTCCATTTAAATATGTAAAGGTACTCAAACATATTTGTTTATACATTGGAACAGTTGAAATTGTCATTGGTGTTTTTCCCCTTTCCTTCACAGATGGATGGAACGCCTTCAGAATCAGAGAAGCTTTACTCATTTTATGATCTGGAGTCAAGTAAGTGATTATCTGTCAGCATCTTAAAAAAAATTTCTATGATTTGTTTGCTGACTTGGTGAACGGATTTATTTTTAACTTTGTTTTTCTGTTTCTTTATAATGTGATGCAAACCTGACAAGATTTATTTTTATATACAACTGTCATGCTGGTTTATTCCACTTATCACGGAGTAGCTCTGTCCTGATAGGGGTTAGTAAAGCGCCATAAAGATGTTCAGGTTAGATAGGGTAGTGTAACTATTAGTCCAGTTGACGAAATCTTTTTTTTTTTTGAGACTCCACCCCAGGCTGGAGTGCGGTGGTGTGATCTCAGCTCACTGCAAGCTCTGCCTCCCGGGTTCACGCCATTCTCCTGCGTCAGCCTCCTGAGTAGCTGGGACTACAGGCGCCCGCCACCACACCCGGCTAATTTTTTAGTATTTTTAGTAGAGACGGGGTT